CAAGAACTTTTCAGAAACACTGAGATGAAGGGTTATGATTGATACAGCCACAGTTTTACTGTTGCAGACCAGTTATATTATATATAACATACCAAAGCTGAAATACGATAGGCACTCAGCTTTGGTATGTTATATATAATATAACTGGTCTGCAACAGTAAAACTGTGGCTGTATCAATCATAACCCTTCATCTCAGTGTTTCTGAAAAGTTCTTGTTGCATCCAGTCTCCTTTCAGTAGCATTAAACATTAGGGTATTATCCATTTGGATAAAGATTGGACAATAATTAAGGGGGGGCTTAATGGGGCCTGGATAATGGATAGGGGTGCACTGGCCCATAAAAGTTTGAGAACCACTGATCTAGCAGGCCTTCGAACAAATACCGTAGTTAATGTGGGCACCTCCAAAGCCTTCTGCCAACACATTCACCACCATGTTGCAGTGGTCTATAAGGGGCACATGAGTAAAAAACAAATATTCTGTTAAACTGAACTGTAGTTTTGTTTTAAGGGTTCTTCCTCTAACTCTTAACCAGCTGCACCAGCTCTCCTCTCTAAAATACCATGTCATGTCATAATATTTTCCTTTTCTTAATCATTGGAAATTCTAGTAAGCAGCTTACCTGACAGCAATTACCTGGCTGACATCCAGCTTGATTTCATGTAGCTGAGCTTTTAAAAAATTTTAGCAACTACTTCATGGAGTGCATTTCCATTCAAGTTTATACTGGTGGCGATAGGCAGCATGAAGCTGCATGATAATTTTATCGATCTTCCCTATGTCCTCTGCCTGTGAGGACATGCGTTGTTTGTTTACTAGCAATATATGGAAACTATGGCAGAGTCAACTTTGACAACTAACAAGGAGGTCAACCTACGTGGATGATGCGGGAGCTGCAGTCAACAAGACTTTTGAAACATGCAAAAGAGACAATAGAGTCAAGCTCAGTAACTTTAGAGATTAAATGCACTGGATTGTAATTACATAACAGCAATCAAAGGATCATTCTTCTTTTATTGAAAAAAAGTTACCTTGACAATAATTTTTAATCTGAAATTAAACAACCTAAAACATTTTTACCCATTCTCAAAAAACAAAAAAATGGCATATAAATATCAATCTGGCCTGTCAAAGTCTTTAAAGGGGCCTCTTGTAGCTTGGCAGCTTCACCTTTGGAGCCATTTTAAAACTTCACATTTGTTGTGAAGTTTCCTGAAGACGTCACTGTGGCGGGTCTTCGATCTAACAGTGGTGAAACAAATACAGAGGACAGGTGAACAATCTGAGTTAGTGGTGAACCAGAAATAACCTCATCCTGAATATAAGGAGATGAGGAGGTCATAGGTCAGACTACAGGAGGACCAGGAAGACTAAGCACAGTCCTCTCTGCAAACAAGGAAAGGTGATGGAGCCTGTGGACAGCATACAGTTCCTAGACATTCACATTTACATTGCCGTCTCCTGGGTTGAGAACTCCTGGATGGATGGATGGATGGATGGATGGATGGATGGATGGATGGATGGATGGATGGATGGATGGATGGAT